TAAAAAAAAAAAAAAAAAATTCAATTAGCATGAATATGGTAAGAGCGCGTGGTGGCTCAGTCGGCTAAATCGTGGATTGGCACGCGGGAGACCGTGGTTCAGTTCCTGGCTAGTGCGACTTTACGGGCAAGTACCTCTGTGATTGTTCACATGTGCTTTTTCACCACGCAATGCTCCTCGAGGAGGGTATAGGCGACCTTCTCGCAGCAAAAATTGCCGAATTTCCCCCTATCTCCCCCTCCCAGTAATCGAAGGCCTCCTATCCCTCTTCCCTTCCTTCTCCAAGGTGCTAAGTGCCCATAGTAGTGCCCTTATTAAAAGGAGCCGGACGTAGAGCACTATAATATAAAAAAAAAAATGAAAAAAAATTAATATGGTAATGTAGATTAAACATAATAAGATGCGTTATTACGCATTAAATATTTGTATTTTATGCATTTGATGCATAAAATACCGACAGATTTTTATTAAACCTGAGATTTTTTTTGACATCACAGTAATGCTAATAATATTTCTTAAGCTGTATTTTCCATTTGTTGGTTCTATTAAAAAATTATGTTAAATATGTGAAAAATATATAACAGAGCTTCTTAAATTTAAAAAATAGAACATGTCAAAAAAATCTTATCACAAACTGAAAGAAAATGTATCCATCTTGTGTATATCCATCTTATGTATCAAAATTGTACCATACTAAATGTTGACGTCGTGGCAATACATGCACATACATACATGTGCACTCAGTATAAGAAAAACTTAAAATATCTTTTAAATTGCAGAATAATTAGGCTAAGCTTTGACCTTATTTTAACCTGAAAAATAACTTTATTAATTTTTTATGACTTCTTGGGCGAATGATAAGATATCTACTTAGCATTTNACTATGAAAAAAAAAACAAGAAATAAAAAAAAACAACAAACCAGGGGGGATAAATGGGTCATGGGACCCATGGTAAGAACAAAGTTCTTTAAACATGAGATGAGTATAGACAAAATTTCTCAGGTAACAAGGGGGTCGCCACACCCACAGGAAGAACGAAGCTCTGTAAACGTTAGTACTGCATACATGTTGTTTACTAAAACAAACACTTGAAAAACGAATAAACAAACCAGGGGGGATAAATGGGTCATGGGACCCATGGTAAGAACAAAGTTCTTTAAACATGAGATGAGTATAGACACAATTTCTTAGGTANCTTTATTAATTTTTTATGACTTCTTGGGCGAATGATAAGATATCTACTTAGCATTTTTTTAAATATCTGAGTAGACATTTTTCTATTCGTGCAAGAAGTTATAAGAGATTAACAAAGTTTATTTTTAATATTAAAGAGTTAAGTCACTTTAAATTGTGACTCTATGCTCCATAAAATAAAATCGTCATAAAAATTGAATACAAAGTTTGTTATAGAAGAACTGCAAAAAAACATTTTTAAAAACGAAAAAAATTTCTGTTACAACCTTAATAATGAACTAATATTACCTTAAGTACATATGTATGTTTCTTGATTTAAAAAAGTATAGTAGTGCATGTTAAGTTTTTAATACCTTTAACGATAAGTTTTTGAGATTTTCGGACTTCTCCAAAGCAATTTTTGGCAAGACAAGAGTAATTTCCACTATCATTCTCCAAAAGATATTTTATCTTCAATTTTTGGTTCTTGTCCATTAATCTGTACCGACGATTCTAAGGATTCACCATTCTTGTACCACGTAATATCAGGTTTCGGTGATCCTTTGGCTTTGCAAAATAAAGTAATAGTATTCAAAGCATCCTTCCACCCCAAGACTATTTCTGTGTCATTCATATTTGTAACTTTTATTGTAGGTATTTTTGGCTCTACAAATATAAATATATTGTGAACAAAACAAATTTCAATAAACTATACAAAAAATGATAACTTTCGCAGTATAATAATATACCGTGCTTCAAACTTCGGAATGATACTTAGTGGTACGTAAAATAGTGTATACGCCATGAGAGTAAGTAATATAATGTCTTATGTTTGCCAATATACATGCAATTAGGGTTACCCTTATTCCTACTTTATTATCCTAGGTGTATAATTTGTTTTAATTTAATACAGGTATGAATGGTACATTGACGTTGACGCTTAATAATTTTGGAAAAATTAATTGGAAAAATTTGTCTAAATTCTTCATTTAAAAAGAAAATACGAACGCCCCCATCTACTAATGTAAATATGCTAACGGCCCTTATTAATCAGATAATCCAGAAAATCAAAGCTATTTATTTTAGTTTTCTTCAGTGAACTATAAATTTCATGTAATATCTTTAAGAAACAGTTTTTTGAGACATGCCGAATAAATGTATGTAGTATAACTACTCTTATTGTTATTACTATACGATTATTATCATTATTTTTAGTACTATCATTATTATTATTATTATTATTATTATTATTAT